GGAGCAGGCAGCTGCCCGCCGAGGTGCTGTCGCAGCAGTGGGCTGTGGGCATGAGCCTGCTGATGGCCCTGGTGGTGCTGCTGATCGTGGCCGGGAACGTGCTGGTGATCGCGGCCATCGGGCGGACGCAGCGGCTGCAGACCCTCACCAACCTCTTCATCACCTCGCTGGCCTGCGCGGACCTGGTGATGGGGCTGCTGGTGGTGCCCTTCGGGGCCACGCTGGTGGTGCGGGGCACCTGGCTCTGGGGATCCTTCCTCTGCGAGTGCTGGACCTCCCTGGACGTGCTCTGCGTGACGGCCAGCATCGAGACCTTGTGCGTCATCGCCATCGACCGCTACCTGGCCATCACCTCGCCTTTCCGCTACCAGAGCCTCATGACCAAGGGTCGGGCCAAGGGCATCATCTGCACCGTCTGGGCCATCTCCGCCCTGGTCTCCTTCTTGCCCATCATGATGCACTGGTGGCGGGACGAGGACCCCCAAGCACTGGAGTGCTACCAGGACCCAGGCTGCTGCGACTTCGTCACCAACAGGGCTTACGCCATCGCCTCGTCCATCATTTCTTTCTACATCCCCCTCCTCATCATGATCTTTGTGTACCTCCGAGTGTACAGAGAGGCCAAGGAGCAGATCAGGAAGATCGATAGGTGCGAGGGCCGGTTCTACAGCAGCCACGAGCAGCCACAGCCGCCCCCTCACCCTCACCACCAGCCCATCCTTGGCAACGGCCGAGCCAGCAAGCGGAAGACCTCCCGCATCATGGCCATGAAGGAGCAGAAAGCCCTCAAGACTTTGGGCATCATCATGGGGGTGTTCACTCTCTGCTGGCTCCCTTTCTTCCTGGTGAACATCGTCAACGTCTTCAACAGGGACCTGGTGCCGGACTGGCTCTTTGTTTTCTTCAACTGGCTGGGCTACGCCAACTCCGCTTTCAACCCCATCATCTACTGCCGCAGCCCCGACTTCCGTAAGGCCTTCAAGAGGCTGCTCTGCTGTCCCCGGAAAGCCGGCCGGCGGCTGCACGCGGGCGGCGGGGAGATGGCCCAGCTGCCCGGGGGCTTCATCAGCACCGTGGGCTCCCCCGAGCGCAGCCTGGGAGGGACCTGGTCCGACTGCAACGGGGGCACGCAGGGTGGCAGCGAGTCCAGCCTGGAGGAGAGAAATAGCAAAACGTCCGATTCGGAGTCCAAGGTATAGGGGGGGGGGTTTGAGGGGCCACGTCGGACCCGGGGCAGGGGGAAAGGCAGGCAGGGAGACAGAGGAGCAGAGAAATCCCCGGCAGCTGCCTGGTGGTAAGGCTAATGCCAAGCAAACCTGATCCCTGTCTTAGCGGGAAGAGAGCGGGTGTTTACGTAGGAATCAAAGCAGGTGAACTCGTGTACGACATACCTCATCGAAACTACAGCAAACAGGAAACCCACTGACCGGAGAACAAAGAAAATTAACAGCCTGTCCCAAAGATAGCCAGCTTGTATTTAGGAGAAGCGCTTTCGGAAGGGGCTGCGGCAGCGTGCTTTGCTCGGGTGAGTTGTCCCAGGACCGTGCTGGTGGTTGATCCTGAGCGTGGAGGTGCTGGCGTTTGGCCGCCGAGTTTGGCTGCGGCCGGGGCCGCCGCCGTCCCCCGCCTCGCCCAGGGCTGTCGGACGCCCCGGGGTTCGTTCCCTCGCGCACAGCACCGGGCGGTTTTTGGGGAGGCGCGGGGTCCGGGCTGCAGGTGCTCCAGGCAGAGAGCACGGACCCCCGGGCAAGATGAGCTTTAAACTCGGAGTAGCTGTGCTCCCCTCTTCCGCAGAGTAGCGATGGAGAAAAAAAATGAGTAATGAGGAGCACAGGTATATTTTGAAAGTGGAAAAAAAAAAACTCAACCCACACTCTTGTGCTTTTTCCCTCTGCATCAGCAAACAGTGAGTTATTGTGCTTATCTCCTTCGGCCAGACAATAGCAGTCGGGCTGAGAAACTTCTACCTCAAACTGTGCATATTGTACAGGGGAATAAGTGGACCGTGTTTATATTAAACAGCGTATTTACATACCACTAATAGTATTTTATGAAAAGCGGGGGGGGGGGGGGCGGGGGGGGGCGCTTTTGATGTTTTTTCTTTAGCCTTTTGCAGTTTGTTCATTGTAATTACAGATGAACGGGGGGGACAAAAATCCTGGCAACAACAAAAATTTACTGCACATTTTTTAAAAAATGCCAACAAAGCCGTTTTTTGCACAGTGTTAGGAGTTGTAAAGTTATTTGAAGATGTTACTTGCACACACGTACACACATGCAAATTAAAAATGAAACGGGGGTTTGAATAACACTGACCCTGAACGTGATTTCTGGTTTTGTCTGATCTGTTATAGTTTTATTGAGAGAGTGACTTTTTTTATATTATTTTATGAAGGTACTGTAAATATATCCATATTATAAATTAAAATATCTTAAGAGACTTTATTATTTTTATTTCCAAGTGGCCACGTGAATCTGCTGTTATTTTAGCACTTGTGTGTCATTTCCATTTTCCTCTCTGTGTGTGTTTTATAACATATTTATACTCTGGTGCAGTTTACTACTGTGTAAGTAATTGGTCTGTGTGCAATAAATACCATTGCAGCACAAGCAAGCGTGTCTGTATAGGTTTTGAAACAATACCTGCCTATAATGGGAAGAACAGCATTTGTTTTTCTCTAAAGATGGCTCAGATTACCAATACAACTCTATCTAATGGCTTTTCCTGACACAGTATTGTAAAAAATGTGTTTGAAACCCAATAAGGTTGTGTTCCTGTTGCACCAAGATCCACTGACTTCCCTTAAAATTAATGGCTAAAGACAAGGTGTTTCCAGTCTGATAATGAATACACTCATTTTCTGTAACTATTCCTTTCTGGAAGATATTCTTCTTTTTTTTGTTTGTTAGGAGTACGCATCTGGGAGTCAGGAGACCAGAATATTTAAGATTACAGAGGATGCTTAATTTGAAAGCTAAAAATGATCTCGAGTAGAAAGAAATCTCCTTATGCGGTACACGCAACCCCACAAGTAAGTCCACCTCATGCCAACGGTGGGCCTGATCCTGCCTGAGCGAGGTGGGTGGTGTGCGCTCGGCGGGACCGGGTCCGGGGGCTGAGTGCGGAGGTCAGGGGAGACCCCTGCCCGAAAAGCAGCCGGGGGAGGCTCGTGCCGTGTAAGGGGAGATGGCAGCTGGGGAGCCGGTCGGAGGAGTCCAGGCTTTGGTTCCCTCTTACTGTAGAAAAGGAGTTAACCTCTGAGGGAATGGCTGGGACGTTACTGGAGCAGGATCGGACTCTGGGACAGACTTAAACACCGCTGAAATCAGGGGAAACCTATTCTGTTGTCGCTGGATGAAATGAAACTACCTGCTTTGTAGACCATAAAGCTAATGGTCATGTGCAGCGTGGCTTACTTTGCAGCACTCTGCTGCCAATAGTCACGTATTCCTTGGGGGCCAGATTATGATAACTGCCTGTTATATTGAGGAGTGGTGCAAGTACGGAGGTTCTGTGAAAAGAAGGGCTGCAGATTTGGACCCTTGGTCCACAAGATTGTCATCCTTTATTGCTTTATGAAGGTACGCTCTATCCTTGTGGTTTCATAAAGTTTTTTGTTACTGCAATGAATACATGGCAGATAGAGCAATGAAAAGGCAGCGCAGAATAAAAGTGAAGCCATTTTTAGCTTTATTAAACTCGGAAGTATAGTCAAATTAGAAATCAGCTCCCAGGAAGAGCACTTCCCAAAGCAAGTTCTTTAGGGTGGTGGCCAACAGTTTGTTTTGGAAACCATTTGTTCATTTTTTTGTTTTAAAAAGTAAGGCATTTGTCCTTTGCAACTTCTAATGATGTATTTTCAGGAAAAAAAAAAGTTATGCTTTTTATGCAAGGACAAAATAAAGGGACCAGGGAAGCAAATAGTACTTTTCCATCAATGTTACTGGGGTTCAGTCAGTTAATGCTGTCTCCCTTGATAATAGTGAAATGGGCTCCTTAAAATGCCAGGGTGATGTCAGATCAGGTGCTAAATGAAATACGCTCTGCCACTGAATGGTGGTGGTTTTTTTTTTGATCTGGTTTTGTCTGTGATTCCAGCAAAGGCAACAGGACCAAAGGGGTGCATGGGACGGCGACATCTGACACCGGTGACTGCGGCGAGGTGTTGGCTGCGCATGTCGGGGTCGGGACGGGATGGGGAGGCAGCGCTGCCATCCTCCTCCTCCTGTGCGCTGGGGATGGCAGTGAGCGAGGGCAGGACCGGGTCCCTGCCTGCTAGGTAGGGCAGGGCAGGATCTGGCCCCAGCGCCCAGCTGGGAGCTGAAGTGGCTGTTGAGCCCTTGTCCTCAGCAGGGTGCTGGATCCTGGGGAAGAGCAGTGCCTGCCTACTGCGTGGGCATCGTGCAGGTGGAACAGTCTGATGGACTTTGGTCCTTGTCTCATAAATCAGTTCACATACTTAATTTTAACCATCCAAACACTTGTTTCCTTAGACTTTAAAAAGTGATGAAAGCTTTGGCTCAACAAGGTCCTTAGGTGGGAAATTTATTGCCAGAACTTGCTTGGCTTCCCCTGCCGAATAGCTGCACTGGGTCCTGCTTCCCCTGGACAAGTGTAATGGCATGAAGAAGGTGGAAGGTAGGATGAGTTTTGCCCGCTGGCCTCAGCAGGGCCAGCTGTGTGAGCAAAGTGGTCAGGATTTGTCTGCCATTGAGTTTTGGCCAGTCAAGGACCTGCTGGAAGAGTCCGGAGGCTGGCACATTGAGTCCCTTCGTAGACAGCTAAGATAATCCACCTGGCAGCGTGGATGGCGGATGCCGGTCCGTCTTGCACGGTGTAAAAAAGACGATGGCACAGTAACGGTGCGGACAGAGCGGGACATATGGCACGCACGTGTGCGAGGAAGGGGAGGCTGCTGGCGAGCAGTCTGCCGTGGATCACGCTCAGAACAGGCTGTTCTCCATGGAGAAGAAGGATACTCTGAAAAGTGTTACGGGGCAGCTGAAATACTCCGGAGGCAATGAGTCACTCACGATGAATATTTTTTTCTGACAAAAACCAGACATGGATTAGCAACTGGAACTGCAAGTCAGAAAGTATAGGTGGTAGGCATGCAGCTGCACACGTACGTGGGCAGGAAAGTAACATAAAAGAGCCGCAGGCCTGTGGGAAAGGGAGACACAGGTAAAACAGAAATCCACTCGGAGAAAATTATTTGGCAAAGGTGCCTGAGACTTCCACGTGCAAGGCACCGGACTCTCAAAGGTGCCAGCCGCGCTCTAAGCAGTGTTTGCTCAGCACTTCTGAAAAGCAGGCTGCATCTCTCCACGTGTTTAGATGGGAATATATCGGGTGGAAAGCCTGGCTTCAGTTTTCCACGAGTTCAGGAAAGTTGAGGATGTTTCAGACACACGGCAGGCTGTCGAAGTGCCTGCAGAAGTACCTCCCCACCGGTGAGAGCTGCACAAAAGCTCTCCTGAAAATTCACTGCACTTTGAGACCGTGACCCTCAGCATCCACTGACTGTAGCTCCAAGCAGTAACTGATGAACGGATGAAACTATGTGCCAAAAATGTGGCTTAAAATTGTGATCTGAACTATGCCCATGGCACACACAGCGTTTGACAGCATCAGCCGTGTGTTTGTGATACAGCGTGCACCATTTCTTCTGCAAACGCTGCTTTCCCTTTTGGGTATGCACGTGTTTTCAAGTTTTCAACTTCTTTATCAGCTTTTTTTTTCCCCTAAACCCTATCTGCAGTCGATGTTTTATTAATAACTTCTAAGTGGCTATTTTGCAAACCTTCCTTGTGCTGCACACTTTCCTAATTTATTGTAATTTCCCGTCCGGTGGAGTGCACTTACTTCCTTTATGTAATATATCAGCTACAGGCTGGAAATTGTGCAGCTATGAATTGAAAGAGCAGACTTTCTTGAGGCCAAATGCGGTCAGGCATCATTGCCACTGGGAGCAGAATTTGACCTGATAATCTAATCTTATGCGAGAGAGTATCTCTAGAAAAGTATTGTTACCAGCAGTAAATGACCTCTGCTAATGAAGCTGGAGCAATTAGTCCTATTCTAAGCTGTCAAGAAAATGTTAACTGCTGTACAACAGTTAACGTTGGATAGCTCAAATAATGAGTGTTTTGTTTGCTGGTGTGTGTTAGGTGATGTGTTGGGAAATAATTATCCTTT